GCAGTCGCACTTGCGACCACTCGGCCAACGAGGCAGTCAGCAACAGCAACGAGCTGTTGTAGTGGTACGTTCAAATATTGCCTCTGAGGCTATTTATTAGTAATTATTTCGATTGCCGTATCATATAAGTATGGACATAGGTATTTCTAATATATAAAATATGCAGGACTAAGGAGACGGTCTTTGTTCATTAGTAGACGTCTTCTCACTGATGATAAGGCAAACTTCTCATTAACAGTATTCAGTCTAGGATTTTCCTGTTTTGTATGTTAACTATTCGTCGTGAGACATAATAATTAATTATCTATTATGGTTTCGGCTTGCTCACGAAATTGTTTGACGAGAAATTCGACTAGTTTCAAGCCATGCTGGAGGCTCATATTCATGAGTAGCAGTCCGCAACACGCGACGCGGCGACCGTCGCGCTACTTAGCAGCATATGAAACATGAGCCACCTGGTGGTCTATTCTTCTTCTTACGATGCCACTTCATTCCTGAAGGTTGGCCGTCAGCTTTATGAATTAGTCCTTGTCATTGGTCAGGCCGAAAAGTTGTTCCACAGAGCTGATACCGGTCCACTCCCAGATATTGCACAGCCACGATTGTTTCCTTCGCCTAACGCTTCTCTTTCCTTCCACCACCGTCTTTTTATCACAGTAGGATTCAGAACATAATGGAAGGGAGAATGTCGCGGAGAACCTAACGGGTTACCGGGGCTCCGGCTCGACGTGCAGGAGAAGGAACGGGGTGGTTTTTAGTCAGTAAGAGTCTGCCACTCCCTCCCGCCTCACCCAGGCGGGAGCAGGTATTCGATGATTTTCCCCCGTTTAAAAAAATAGAAGGGAGTATAATTTAGTTAACAAAAAGTCCATGTAAATAGGATTTTAGACTAATTATATATTCAAGGAAATCTAGACTAGACTGAGTTCGTCTGATGATACAGGTTGAGTCACCAAGTTACGATCGCATTTCTTATCTCGAGTCATTGACCTATTAATTGAGAATGTAGTACAATAGATAAGTTTGATATAAAATATAGTAAACGGTGCTTTTTATTACAGGCGTTTTAGCAAATTCATCGTCATCACAACAACCTATAGTTGCTCACTGCTGAGCATAGCCTCTTCTCACACGGACAAGATTTGAGCATTAATCACAACGCTTGCTCAAAGCGGGTTGGCGAATTCAAATTTATAACTAGAAATTGTAAGTCCAGGTTTCCTCACGACGTTTTTCTTCACGGTTGCCAGTGGTGTCTAAATAATCTTAGAAAATACAGATAACTCGGATAAAGTTACATTAATACTTGCCTTTGGTAAGTTTCGAACCCGCACCAACTTTTCACTATTTATGCTATAAGTCCCTTGTAATAGGGGGTGAGCCTATTGCCATATACCAGGCACAATTCCAGACTCCATGCTGCTACTGAGAATTATAAAAATACCAGATATTTATAGTAGCTTCTGTTTATTTCTTAAGAGGAATAACAGATATGAAATAACATATCCACTTCAAAATTTCATTATTTCATCTGTTTTTAGTATAATAAGGCACAATATGTCATACCAGTCCCACACACACATATGACATACATATATTACAGTACCAATTATTTACTCAGACCGACCGTCATATAATTACCATTTACCCATCACCACTACATAAGCACATCTGTATTTGTATATTATTATGTCTATGTGTGCTAATGCCCTTAGCAAATAGACCCAGTCAAGTGGAGCTTGCTCATTAAGTACACATGTATTAATTACCATTGAAAAATAACCAGACAACCTTGATAGTAGATTGGTTGCCGGTCAAAGGGTTTTACAAAGGGCGTTTATGAGTTTTATCATTTTTGAAATTTGTGATTGGTACGGCGAGAGGCAGACCCGCCTGATCAATGTAAAATTTTAATGCTTGAAACCGGCAAAAATTTTAAGCCATACGCCTGCCGCACACTCGATGAGTGGTATCAAAAGTAACGAGGAAAGGAGGCAAAGACGTAGTGTGGCAACATTACTCGTCATGCCACACGTCATGCTCCTCGTCCTGCCCACTGCTCCCTATTTTGTCGGTTTTTGCGCGCGAGTCAAAGGGACCGGCAATACGAGGAGATAACGAGGACAGGTAGTAGGATTGTTGCGATTAATTGCGCGAGTACAGCAGTGTGGAAGCGTCACCGATTCATGGTAAATGTGCCACCCACACGCACGAAGCGCTTCGCATCAAGCTTCGTTGTACGTACTGTTAAGGAGTGGAATTCTTTGCCAGAGTCTGTATTTCCTGAAGGGGTGTCTTCAAGGCCCGAGTGAATAAGTTGCTTATGGGTCGACGTGCTCCATCGTAGACCGCATCATCGCTTACCACCAGGCGAGATAGTGGTCAAACTTCAATCCCATCTTTATATATATGTATAATTCTTCTGTGAGTGTGTATGCCATTGAACTTCTCTCAAACGACTGAACCGATTTTGGTGAAATTTTTTGTGTGTGTTCAAGGGGATCTGGGAATGGTTTACATTCACAAATCAGCCCGGCAGATGGCGCTGCTCGATGTTTAGGTTATTTATCCTAAACAGCTGAACTAATTTGAATAAATTTTTGTTTATACATTCAAGTGAATATGCAGGACAACGTCTGTTGGGTCCTACGCTAGTTTCATATAAAAAAAACATATTTTAGGGAAGGCACATCGAGGTTACAAATCTACAAAACTTCGGAATTTGGCAATAACCTACAAATGTCTATCAAAAGTTAATTTCATTAGAATGAGTTCGATTTAGTAGTCAAGTATCTACCAACTGAATGTGTGCTAATAGATTGTTAATGATCTTTGTAATTATTATTCAAGGTCAACGAACTGACATACAAACTTAAATTGGAACAATTAATGAATTCTAACAGTATATTGTTACCCTAAATGAACAAAATATTCTTTCATTATATAAATGAAGTAATTGGTCTGACTTGTTGATCGAGTGGCCGCAGATGTAAACCAGAGCTTTGGTTTGAAATAAGGAATGGGATGGTTTTTAGTCAGTAAGAGTCTGACAGTCCCTTTCGTCTCATCTAAGGCGGGTCCCCGGTTCGGGTAAAGTACCATTGAGTAATTTCGGCTTTTTTAAAAAGTTATCAGTGATTACACGTAGCATGAAATTCTGTATAGGATATATACCGCGGAGGACTTGCCGGGGCTCCGGTTCAAAGGGCAGGAATAGGAACGGGGTGGTTTTTAGTCAGTAAGAATCTGACACTTCCTCCCGCCTCACCCAGGTGGGAGAAGTCATTCGATGATTTTCCCCCCTTAAAAAAAAGAGTATTTGGCAATAGACTTACCTTAAGGACGTGAGTTAATGTGAGACTCAGAATGTAATCGCTAAAGTTGACTAGGGCTTGGTGTTAAATAGATCCAGAAATATTAAGTGAAAAGTCGGTACTCAAACATAAAATTATTGTTAAGATTATACAATATACCTAATAATAATTGTTATGATTGAAAAGAACACAGTTATTTTGTTAACCTTTTTGAAACAATGAGCGCCTGTAATATATTCCGAGCAATCCGTCGATGGACGTTTTATTTTCTAGTAATGGATACTATTTTAAAAGGAAACGTCTATAAGGAAATTACTTGACTGGAGCATTGTCGCGGTGGTTGGGCAACCGGCTGCCGTGCAACATGTCGTGGGTTCGAGTCCGTTTGTGTGATCCACAGACTATGTTCTGGGTCTGGGTGTAATGTGTTTGTGAAATTGTATGTTTGTAAACGCACCCACGACACGGGAGAAAATCCTAGTGTGGGGCAACGTTCTTTTTTTAAAACAAACAAAGAAAAATTAATTAATATTCTGGACTATGAGCCAACTAGAACTGTAACTAATTTTGTAAATAAATTTTCTAAATTAAAACCTATAAAATAAATCAAGTGTATGCATTGAGTAGCAGCGCGATAGTTGACGCATCGCGGGTCGCGGAATGCTGCTCATGAATGCCTCTAGCATTGCTGGAAACTAGTCAAGTTCCTGGTCAAATAATTAGTGAGTAAGCCGAAAAACATAATAAGTAATTTAGTATGTCTCACAAATTTATAATAGTGTAGTCATGATAACTGGAAATAAGTAGATGATTTATGCCTATGGACACAGATTTGCTTCATACTATATTCAGTATAGAAAGCACAATTTGATATTAGCTTCTACAATTTGCTGATTTGAAACAAATCCTGAATTTCTGATTATTTTCGGTCAATAGCACTAAGTTTACCTAATACTATCCATTACCCACTTTATACACATTAGTATAATTTGTACAATAGGCAATGCTTAAAGTCTCTCTTAAGCGGGTTGCTATGATCAAAATAGTAGGCACTCATGTGATGATTGGTTATTAAAAAACTATGTTAATTTTATACAGTACATTACATATAATACATATATAAAAAAATATTATACAGTAATAAATCATTATGGTTTGTTAGGTTTATAAAGTAGCAATATAAAGTTATTAGCAAATATTAAAATATTTGCTAATAACTTTTTATATAAATTAATAATAATATAAATATGACTATGATTCCGTGCCACATACATGGCTCATGAGGGTGCTGGAGCTATACAAAGTTGATACAGCTCTACGTACCTTCCTGTTGTCATGTATGAGACAATGGAGAACGGTTCTTCGCTATCCAGGATGTGGACAGATCTGTGGAAACGATGAACCCATTAGGATTGAGCGGAGTATATTTCAGGGTGATAGTTTGAGTCCATTATGGTTTTGCTTAGCCCTGAATCCTCTAAGCACTTTGTTGGAGGGCTCGGGGTTAGGATATAGGTTGAGAAGAGGGGGACAAATTATATCCCACCTACTTTACATGGATGACTTAAAGCTATTTGCTCCAAACAACTTGCATCTAATGAGGTTACTGAATGTCACTGAAACGTTCAGTAATGCCATTAGGATGGAATTTGGTGTGGACAAATGTGCAGTTCTGCATGTAAAGAGGGGGGAAATTGTGGAATCAGATGGGACACAGAACTCTGATTCTACAAGCTTCAGACCCCTTTCCTCAACCGAAACCTATAAGTACCTGGGTATGTCAGAAGCGTTAGGCATCGATGTGACTGTCATGAAGCAATCGTTACGGGAGCGTTTCTTTGGCCGCCTGAAAAAAGTACTTAATAGTCTTTTATCAGGCGGCAACAAGGTGCGCGCCTACAACGGTTGGGTCATGCCAGTACTCATGTACTCTTTTGGCATACTCAAGTGGACTCAAACGGAACTGGACACCCTGGATAGAAAAGTTCGTTCATTGCTGACTGAACATCGAATGCATCACCCACGATCGTCGATAATGAGACTGTACATTCCGCGTAAATGTGGGGGGCGAGGCTTTTTAAATGCAAAAACCCTCCACAATAGTGAAGTGTGCAGTCTCCGAAAGTATTTTTTGAAAATGGACGTGGGGATGCATAGAGATGTTGTCGCTGTGGACAAAGGGCTTACTCCGCTCTCCTTGGCTAACGAGAACTGGAGAGAACCTATAATACTAAGCACTAATGATCGCAGGAATGTGTGGCAAAGTAAGGAGTTGCACGGACGCTACTATCGAGCCTTACATGGGCCAAATACGGATTTCTTAGCGTCCGTATCCTGGCTACGTTTCAGTAACTTATTTGGAGAAACGGAAGGTTTTGTCTGTGCAATTATGGACGAAGTTATGATGACGAACAATTATCGAAAATATATTATAAAGGATGGAACTGTTGACATTTGTCGGGCATGTCATCATCCCGGGGAATCCATCCGGCATATAATTTCGGGTTGTTCTCACTTAGCTAATGGAGAATACTTGCATAGACATAATCTTGTAGCCAGGATTATTCATCAACAACTTGCTTTGAAATATAAACTTGTAGAATCTGAAGTGCCGTATTATAAGTATCTGCCTGACCCAGTTCTTGAAAATGGAGATGTCACACTGTATTGGGATCGAACTATCATCACAGACAGGACAATTGTTGCAAACAAACCTGACATTGTGGTGATAGATCGACCAAGCCGTCGCACAATGATAGTTGATATAACAATCCCACATGACGAGAATCTAGTGAAAGCTGAAAAAGATAAAGCAAGTAAATATCTTGATTTAGCTCATGAGATTGTCGACATGTGGGATGTGGATTCAGCAGTCATTGTGCCGATAGTCGTATCTGCCAATGGCCTCATTGCTAAAAGCCTCGACCAACATCTGAGTAGGCTAGCGTTAGATGGTTGGGTCAAGGGCCTGATGCAGAAAGCAGTACTTCTGGACAAGGAACGTATTGTACGGAAATTACTTTCTCTGGAGCCCTGACCACCGGTAGCTTGGATTTCTCCCGTTACTGGCGGGCTACTGCTTTTTATATTTTTAAATGTTTTTTTTTTATATACATATAATGAAATATTTAAAAATATATAAATCAAGTAAGAAAATAAATAAAGGAAATATAAATATTACGAATATAATTTTTGTTTTATCATAATATCACTACCTACATGTTTTTCCTGTGTTGATTTATGAAATAAATAAAAATCTGTTTATCATAATAGCGTTTTATTTGTCAATGGATTAATATTTGTACCTTTTCTCATATAAGTAGTTGAAATACGTCCAGATGTGGGTAATAAATAACATTGTTTTATCAAGAACACATTCCTAACAAAATAATTTATATATCTATATTTTTGTGCATATCTTATCCCATAAAAATATGATTTTTGTACATCACTGGCTTAAATACTGACTTTAATAATTGTTGCTGGTCATAAAAGTATTACAAAATATTTTGCAAAGTATTATTTAACATAACATAATATAACATCACGCCTTTTACCCCCGAAGGGGTAGGCAGAGGTGCACACAGAAGTAACACCCACTTTTCAATATTTATGTTCTCATAACATAAATATGTAATTTTTTCTAGCATAATGTATCTTTATCAAGGTAAACCATACTGCAAATAAATCTTCTTTTGTGCTTTGATTTGACTCACTTATTATACTTAATTTTAGGTATTTTTTGTGTAAAATGTATTTTATCGCTATTCATTTATGTATTAATTATAACAAGGGTGACAAGTCGCGACATAACATAGTTGCAAAGGCAATATACACACTTTTTACAATGGATCAACATAGCACACAACATTTTTTACAATGGATCAATATGGCACACAATATTTTTTACAATGGATCAACATTGCACACACCATTTTTTCAATGTATTAACACGGCACACAACATTTTCTACAATGGATCAACATTGCACACAACATTTTTTACAATGGATCAACATTGCACACAACATTTTTTACAATGGATCAACATTGCACACAACATTTTTTACAATGGATCAACATTGCACAATTTTTTTTTATTCTTGAGGTTCACAACGTTTCACACGCACAGATATAAACAAACAGACATTCGGGAAAATATTTAATAAGCTTAACAGGCTAAAGATTATGTATAAACACGACTGAAGTCGTAAATTTTTCTATAACAAGTTAACCTTTTTCGAGTAGTTAATTGCTTTCAAAAATATTTTAACCCCTTTTCATATACCACTTTTATCCCCTGAGACCCGTGTGCAGAGGTGCACATTACGGCACTTAATGCCACTGTACAATGAGTCCCATGTAATAGGGGGTGAGCCTATTGCTATATTATACAGTGCACAAATCCAGACTCCGTGCTGAGACTGATTTTTTTTTAAAAACCCGTTTAGTTAAAAACCACCACTCGGCAAACGAGGACTGCCTCGTCGGGTTAAGTTCATAATTATCATGTAATGTAATTATTGATATTTTACAGAAGAACTATGTTAGCAGAAAAGGAAAACAGTTATACATATCTTAAATAAATGCGAAATAAATACAATTTTTGACATACGTTGTTTAGAATAAAAAACCATTTTAAACATCATTCGTAAAAATATATCGCTAAAATTACTTTTGTGCATCATAACATTCATGAGGAATTGTCCTCATTTTTTGTCATTTTTTACTTTTAATTATTGAATTAAAAGTAAAAAATATAATTAATGTATTTTACTGCTATCTAAGACTCAGTAACAGAATATAAGTTTTCACTGAAATAACTTTACTTCAATAAATACACGGATCGATGGTTTGTGCTTACCTACATATTTTTGGTAAATAGCATCATAGCTTTAAGAATTAATTCTCCCTCTTTCTCATAGCGATACGATACACAAGATTATTTTATTGCATACTTTAACTTATTTTTATAGAACTCGTAATTTCAATTGACTTAAGTGATCGATATGGTCGCAAATCTATGCTAAGTTCTTCTCTGTTTTCCGTGATTGTTGGTCCGAAACCCTTTATAGAAGATCAACCCAAGTTTTACTAAGTCACTAACTGTACCAGTGTAATTTTGAAATACTCGACTGTGGACATTGAAGTTATTTTTTTTGTCGTGAAAACGTCATTCAATCCCTTACTTAAACATAAATACTCTTATAATGTCTACTGAAAAACAACACCATCTATGTTACAATTACGTATAAAAACTACACCATCTTTACATTTGTGATAGACGTTCAAGATACAGTCAAGTCAATTGAAATTTCAAGTATCTTTAACACAATGGTACCATTGTATTTGTGCCACTGTATTAGTCAACGGTACCAATATGATACCATGTACTCAACTGTAAGGCTTAGGCCGCACTAGATCAAAATCGCAGCGGTTTTTCACCGAACAACATTTTATTGTATTGTGTATAAACGGGCACGGGACCAAGTCGCAAGTGCGGTTGATCGAACAAAATTACGCGGTAAATAACTGCTGCGGTTCTGCCCTAGTGAGGTCAGGGCCTAAAACAATATTTACTAGAACCACAACCTTTTTACTTAAGCATTGGTTTTCCGATGTTTGACTTTAGATAACCTCTCGGCTTCCTCGATGGAGTCTGGTAGAGGCATGTTGATGGTCTCTGGCATCGTGAAGACTAGCATAGTAGCGATGATGGTCATCGTGCCAAAGAATATTGATGGCAAGCTTTCGTAGTACAAAGCCTGTGAATTAAATCGCAACGTGAGAATGTAGTTGAAGATAGAAAATTAAGGGGGATTACCATAAAGATTTGGATCTGTTAAATAATGTAAAAATCCTTGAAATTCCCAAACCCTAGCATTATTATATCCTATCAGATAGGTCACTATCTGATAAAAGAGGAGGTACCAACGTATCCAATAAATTGTAATTACCCTACAATTAGTTCAGTAACCAATCAACTGTCAGAAGTTAAAGAAAATAATAACATTGTTGTGTTTTTATAATAACTATCGTGAGATCGATCGTACTAAATTAACTATAAATCGCGAGTTACTCACGTGAATGTACTGAGAAAAGCTCTACTAGTTTCGAACCGTAGAGGGGCACGAGGAAGACCTCATGAGCATATCGCGCAGCCGCCATCGCACTGTCTAGCAGTAGGCTTTTGTCAGTATATTTATGTGAGTAACCCGCGATTTACCTCTATAGTTATATTTGTTAACTAAAAATAGAGCACTTACCAACAACGGAGTTAAAGGTGCTAATGTGGATCCAATTCTTCCAGTCGACGAACAGGTGGCTAAAAGCGATTGTCTCACATTTGTAGGGAAGACCTCAGATACATAAATATAGACGGAACTGTAAGCCACCGTGATGGAGAACTTTCCGGCCAGGTAGAAGCCCAAAGACAAATAGGTTTTATCTGTTAAACAAATAAAATCATAATAAATACAGTGGAATACGAGACACTATTCTTACACAGAAAGAAATATTTCACTTACAAGAGAATTGTGTAAATAAATAAATTAGTGTAAAAAGCTAAAACATGGTTTTAGTCTACTACGTCCTTGTCATCAGGAGAAATAGAGCTAAATAATAGGTCCAAACTCGATATGTTTACTAGCTAGCAATCCAAGGTTCCATCAGCCACCTTCCAATTCCTTCATCAATCTAGCTTGATAGTATCTAACATAATATTGCATGGCCATCTATTCTACATACAATTGGGTACTTGCCAAATAGCCAAATTCAAAACTTTTTTCGAATTTAATTCGAATTAAAACCGACAGTTTTCTATGGATTTTGTACGAGATTGTGTATTGTGGCACGTAACAGCATACGTAATTTGCCAATAAAATCAATTAATGAGTGTGATTATTTTTAATATGTTATTGTATTTAGCAGTCGAAGTAATTAATTTTTGATTAAGGAAACTACCGTACTACCAAGCAAGATGGTACAACAATTAGAAGTGCACGATAAAGATGAACAGATGACTAACAGACGACTATGACTTTGATTCAGATTCTTAGATTTCATAACAAAGTCGACCTAACAAAAACGCATTGAAACGATTAAAATAATCTTATAAACTTTAAGGTAGGAGTCCTCTAGCTGGAAGCCAGTAATATACTTTGGATCTCACTTGAAAAGTCTGTCTGAACTGACGTCATATAATTATTATGTCCCGTTTATGTTGTAGTCGTTGTGCTTAGTTGTAGGCCTTTAGGCCGTCACTAGGAAAGTTTAGAAAGCATCATAAAGTTGATGGGACCGCTTGCGAGATGACATCAAAAAAGTTATTTTATTGTTATAAATAAAGAGGTCTGTAATGGAGCAGGAGAGAGGAGGAATGTAATAAAGGTTTCTGAAGAATCGAACATTTTGTTTACGCAGAATTTATAATTCGTTTTCTCATTGAAATTCTATAATTTAAAATCAGACAAGCTTTCAATTTAATTCGTGAATAAATACTAGATTATCAACCTTAACTAACACAAATCAAAGATCATGATAATTACTTCTCGATTCCTAAAATCGAAAACCGAATTATTCGCTCGAATGTTTACAAAATAAACGATTTCGAAAACGCCAACTTTGATAAAACCACGAAAATTATTTATGTTTTACAATTGCCGTTTGCGTCGTCGGCTTTGAAATCGGTTTAACTTGAATATTCCATTAATTCAGGCTGTTATACAAGCAGTGATTACTAAATAAACAGTGCTAGAGCAAAATTCTCTCAAAACTCCCATCTGAGTTGGTTTCCACTGTCCTACGTTTATCGGGTCTGCGAACTTTGAACCTAGAACGTATGTTAGCTGAGTAAAATTTAATTTTGGATATAACGTTGTTAGACCATCCACTCGACACTTCGATCGATCGCTGTAACTAGAATTCATTGGAAGATATTGCCATAAACCAGGACCCTTGCTCCATATTGCTTGCTTCCCACTACACAATAGATCCGGTAAAATAACTTGACGAAATACAATGGGAACAGCTTACGCCTCGTAAACTGTTACAGGATTATCTAACTCGCCTTTTGTTCCCGCCAAATTATGTTTGTTCGTTTGATTGTAAGCGAAGTAATTGTGAACACAAACTACAACTCGTTTGGTTATAAAATTCTCGTTATTGCTATGTTTGCACGGATAAGAACAAAATTTGTTTGTTGCTTATCGGCGAGTTGAAGTGAAATCTAATTTTTGGAGCCACTTTGTTTACTACTGCAAATGTAACATAGAATTTTTGAAAATAAAATTTCAACATCTGATTTATTTTTTCAACTGTAATGAATTGTACTCACCTTTAGGCAAGAATGATAAGCTGATACAAAGAATGGCACTTAATATGTACATTATAATCAAGACCCGCTTCCTTCCAAATTTATCCAGCACAAGAAGGCAGGTGAAGTTGGCTGGAATTTCAATGAAGGCGACGAGCATAAAGTTGACGTACTTATTCCCTGCCAGGGATACAGAGTTAATTGACAGCCCATAATACACAAACGTACAAGTGATCCATAAAAAGGAACACGTCAACAATCTCCTTCTAATAATACTTGATTTCATCGCTTGTACAAATACTGATTTCTTTGGCTCGCTGCCCACTTCAGTTTTTTCTTCTGTTGGTTTCTCTTCCATTTTCTGAAGAGGAGCTAGAGTTTGGTCTGATATTTGAACATTATTCATTTTAGCTGCCCTTTTGATGACTTTCAAAGCCTGTTCATGGCGACCTTTACTGATCAGCCATCTGATACTTTCATTTAAGATCCACAGGTAGGTAAATACGAAGCAAGATGGTATGTATATAATTTTGAGAAGTTTCCTCCAGTCCTGCAGTATCCAGGACAACCCAGCGAGAGACATTAAACCAAAGACATAAAATGTGTTTAGCATTGTGTTACCAAACACTCTTCCTTTAGGTCCCACTAGTTCCATAGCTGTAAAAGATTTATTCGTTAATAAAAAAGTTATTAAGGAAATATTATGGAGCATATTAAAACAAATGGTTGTCAAGTAATTGGTGTGCGAGTTGTGACACCATGTTTTGTAACTAGAACCGGAATAGACTAGGCGTAGAAAAATGTGATCACACCAAAAGATTAGTTTAACCATACAACTACGGAGAGAATAAGGTTTTGCAATTATAAAGATCGAAATAAATGTTTATTTATTTAGTCTTTAGAAAACTGTTGATGGCAAATCTTCCACTAGCAGTAGCATGACGTTTACCATGTTAATGAGGGTGATAAAGTCACTAAACATTTTAAGATTTTGCTCGCAATACACGCTTACCTATAACAAAAGACGTTGTATAGGCTCCGGCTCCCAACCCTGCTTCCAGGAACTCCAAAACCAAAAACATCACATAATTGGTAGAAAAAGATCTTGAGAATCCAAATATACAGTTCATAAGAGCTGCAAATGACAGAGCCTTTTTCCTTCCAAATTTATCTGAAATGATTCCAGTCATAGGAAGGGAGATGAAGAGGCCGGAGTTGTGGATAGTCCCTACTAAAGTCCTTTTCCAATTTTGGCAGCCAAGGTCGAACTGAAACAAAAACATTTGATTGATTCAGGTATTTTTTTAATACCACTTCTGTTATTTCTTGCAAGGGATATGAAAGTATGAAACATAATTTTAAATATTCATCTATCTTTTCTTTAAAAAAAGTTGCCTCAGAATAGGTTTTTATTCTGCGTATGGGTCATGGGTGCGTCTACAAACATCAGATTTCACATACATATGACACGCAGACCCGAAACAACAGTATGTGGATTACACAAAGAGGGATTCCAACCCTCAGGACGTGTCGCGGCAGCCAGTTGCCCAGCCACTGCGTTAACCGTGCATTCGAATAGACTTTCTTTGGATGTTTTTTTATGGCATAAGCCGGTAAACGAGCAGACGGATCACCTGATGGTAAGCAATCGTCGGCCATGGACACCTGGAACACCAGAGGCGTTACAAGTGCGTTACCGGCCTTTTGAGAATTTGAGGATTGTTGGGGATTCAGGTATTAGGGAGATTGGGGAAGCGGAGGGTAATTGGGCCTCCAGTAACCTCACTTACACGACGAAACACAACGCAAGCGTTGCTTCACGTCGGTTTTCTATGAGGCCGTGGTATCACTCCGGTCGAGCCGGCCCATTCGTGCCGAAGCATGGCTCTCCCACACTTACTATGTTTTTAAATTGACCGAACTATGACTTAAGCTTATCACTTAATTTTTCGTGCAAAATAGGTAGATAAACTATCTTATTGTACACAAATCACGTCACAGTTATCTATTAGCTATCTAACAGTTCTTCCAATATGGTGTGATCATCAGACGATATCCACAAAATCCGGGTCAATAATACACAAATATGTTACGTCATTATCAGGCGACACTCCCTCCTATCTATGAATGTATAAAGCTATACATAACCAATTTATCAAGGTTTCGCTTCGTATGGCCTTTCTGCGTATTCGAAGATCAATTTATACTGGTTTTGTATAGGTTGACGTGTAGTCGTGTGCACATTCGTCTCACACGTGGTTCTCAAAAATAAGATAGACGGTGTCCGGACACATTATCAGCTTATAGTTGTTGTAGACATTATCTGGCGCCCAACTGCGTCCGATGCGTGATTACGTACATGCATTTTTCATTCAGTTCATTATATGATATTATACTACGTTCGTTTTTGTTTCTTTTAGGTTTTCTGCTAAACTGCTATGACTGCACGGTTGGCGCGGTGGCTGGGCAACTGGCTGCCGCGCAACTTGTCGCGGGTTCGATTCCCGCACGGAACAACTCTTTGTGTGATCCACAGATTATTGTTCCGGGTCTGGGTGTCATGTGTATGTGATATTCTATGTTTGTAAACGCACCCACGACATAGGAGAAAATCCTAGTGTGGGGCAACGTTGTAAAAAAAAAAAGTTGTAAACTACAAATCTAGATTCTAGTACCCCGATTATTGATGCCAAATTAAAATCCTCAAAATTCAAAAAACGTGACTCTTTGCTATTTCCAAGAAACTCCGAAAAATCCCCAAAAATATTTTATCTGATCCAGAAATCGAACCTGGTATTTCTTCCTTGGCAGTAGCACTTGCAGCCACTTGCCCATCATCAGGTATCAAGGTGTCTAGTATTATTATAACATTAAGTTACTGTCCTATTCAAAATGTTCCTAGGTTCTACACATTTTGTATTCTCCTATTTTCTTTGAGGTTCAAGTTCGATAAAGTTTAAATTCTCGCGGCAGACCCAAAAGGAGATGGCGAATGAACTGGACATCTATGACAAGGATTGGTCGCAAATTTTTTTACATAGAGAGGAGTGGAAGGATTGTAGTAGGGCTTTTTGCCCTGCAGTAGGAAGATCATGGCTGATCATAATTTTTTTTTTATGGGATAAGTCGGTGAATGATTGGATGGATCACCTGATGGTAAGCAATCGGCTTTGCCCATGGACACCTGGAACACCGGAGGCGTTAAAATTGCATTACCGACCTTTTGGGGATTAGAAATTTGAGGATTGTTGGAGATTGGGGGCAATTGGGCCTTCGGTAACCTCACGAAACACAACGTAAGTGTTATTTCACGTCAGTGTTCTGTGAGGCCGTGGTATCACTCCGGCCGGTTCCTGGCCAAGCATACCTCTTCCACACTTTCAAAATAACAAGTTAAAGTAATACTCACATCTTTCACAATCGAGTCTTCATCGCTGTACACAAATGAAGAACATTTCTCTTTTAAGTTAGTATTGAAACCATCAGCCGTACAACTATTTGTTTTAGATGCATATTGGAAACATTTCGAATATTTCTCCTTCTCTATAGGTATAGCATAGTCTAACCATAAGCTGTCGTTCTTTATACTCTCGCATTGTTTTACTTCACATCTGAAACAAAAGAATATTTGAATATTAGGTGGTGTAAATTAGAATAAGGTATTAAACATAACATAACATTACGCTTTTTACCCCCGAAGGGGGGCACATTACGGCACTTATGCCCCTGTACAATGTAACACCCACTTTTCACTATTTATGTTATGAGTCCCACGTAATAGGGGGTGAGCCTATTGCCATATACTGGGCACATTTCCAGACTTCGTGCTACCACTGAGATTTTTTTAAAAACCTTGTAATACTTTGCCCGACTCGGGAATCGAACCCGAGATCCCTAGCCCGGGAACTAGTCGCACTTGCGAGTTGCGAACAGTCGGCCAACGAGTCAGTCATACTCATCGTACATATTTTACATGACGATTAATACGAATATATAAACGATGATCATGGTACCCCGGAGGTTTAAGACGCCCGCTTCTCATGCATGAGAGTGCGGGTAATAAGATAAATAGTGAAAAGTGGGTGCTACATTGTACAGTGGCATTAAACTGTCAAACACCAAGCGGTCACCGGTGACCGCAACCTATTGTTCTATAATTGTGTCTACAAAACCGGTACTCGACGAGTTAAGTGTAGTAATGTGCAGCTCTGCCTATCCCTTTGGGGATAAATAGGCGTGATGTCATGTTATGATATTATGTAAAATATGTAATAACCTAATGTATAATTATAGGATTAAATGGTTGATTACTAAAGTAATCGATTGCCCCAATACAGTAGATACTCATCGTTGATTCAAACCTAGATGGGGCGATTACCGATTGAGTAATCAATCAGAATCGGATCGTTGATTCCGATCAACGATGGGAATCGATTGATCATTAAAGTTGGATTATGAAAATCCATTAAAACAAAATGAATTTGTCGTAAATGTTAAGTGTAATTCTTTATGCACTGGAACACATTATTTGATTACAATGGAGGCTGTTCCAGTAAAATTCTTATTGAGTATTTCCAAAAATTATAGAAGAGTGTGATAATAATAATACTTTTGAATATTATGGTGCATACATACATATATACATAACTTCACGCCTGTCTCCCATGGGGGTAGGCAGAGACTAAGGTACGCCAATTACTACGATTCCTACATACCTCTTTCGCTTCATTAACAGTCATCAATCTTTTCATGCATACTCGACGGTTAAAGGGTACTTTTAATTTCGCTCTTCTTTAATATATCGCGAATTTAGTCGATATGTTTGTCTAGAGCGCCCTCTACCGAAGGCCCCATTCATATCCACTCTGTATACTTCCCATGTTTAAAATCGTTAATAGTTTATAGTTTGAAATATTATATTATGTAAAATTAAATTCCCAAATGGATTTGATCGTTAAAATTACCCTGCATCAATTTCGTTTACAAAGCTATGCAAACTGATGGTTAATTAATATTTGCCTTCAAATATCGGTCAATTACGATCATAGATAATTTTGAATTCCGTATTGGTATAGACTATTTTATCACTGATACTATTTTTATAAGTTACCTGCGTAGTTATTTTAAACTACAAAACTTATTATAGCAAGGGTTGACGGGAAGAAAGAATGGGCCGGCTCTATTTTTATGGTTTCTGCACAAAAACATATATATTTACATTTTTTATGGTATAAGCTGATAAACGAGTGGACGGATCACCTGATGGTAAGCAATCGACGTCGCCCATGGACACCTGGAATACCAGAATCATTACAAGTGCGTTACCTACCAGCATTTTGGGGATTAGGAATTTGAGGATTGTTGGGGATTCGAGGATTGGGGAGGGGGTAAATGGGCCTCCGGTAACCTCACTCATACGACAGAACACAACGCTAGTAGTTTCACGACGGTTTTCTTTGAGGTCGTGGTATCACTCCGGTCGAGCCGGCCCATTCGTTCAGAAGCATGGCTCTCCCACACAATTCATTTAATTAGTGTAACAGAAGAATTAACACTCAGTTATATTCTACGAGCTATAAGCTACACAGACCACAAAACTATAAATATAACATGGTACAATTCTCCACCAATCGCTGGCTTGACAACAGACAATATTCCATTTAGCCTAATTGACTATTTAAACCCAATATTTATCACATTCCTTTCCTATAAATAACTTATATTACACCTACTATAACTATACCAATTATAGCCATTGAAAAGAATGTGATATTAATTTATTTAAATTGAATGCCATATTGGGTTAGTTGTCCTACGACTGTTAAGTATCGGATCGTAAGGTCAACGACGAATGAGGGTTAAAACGCACCTGATTGAAAAGGAGTCACTTATGGAGTTTCTTGCTCGTTCTTCTCCATAGGAATCTACACCTTGAAACGAGCAAATAGCTTTACTAGAGGACTGACCAACAGACTCACATTCTTTTTTTTAATATTTCAATATTCTGTTTTGATGTTTCAAAAGTGCCTTCGTTGTCTAATAGGGATGATGACAGGGTATGAAAATTAAAAATCTAATTAGTCCGTCAGTTAGGTAATGAAGAAATATTAGACTGCCTCGTTGGCCGAGTGGTCGCAAGTGCGACTGCCGGGCAAGGGGTCTCGGGTTCGATTCCCGGGTCGGGCAGAATATTACTGGGTTTTTAAAAATTCTCAGTAGTAGCACGGAGTCTGTAATCGTGCCCGGTATATGGCAATAGGCTCACCCCCTATTACATGGGACTCATAACATAAATTGTGAGAAGTAGGTGTTACATTGTACCGTGGCATTAAGTGCGGTAATGTTCATCTCTGCCTACCCCTTCGGGAATAAAAGGCGTGATGTTATGTTATTAGACATGTATTTTTTATCTATTTCGTGTGTCTAAATGTGGATCCACGCGAGACACAATGTGTTTTCTATTGTGTATTATAGACAGGCATTCATCGGTTAAAATGAAAGCCAGAATACTTACATTCTAGGATACAAAAAGAAACTTAAATCTATTATAATATTAATTACTTAGGTAGTACCTTGTTGCTACCTAAGTAATTAAACTAAAGACAGCAAAAATCTCAGCAATTAGCAAATAATTTGTAAAGATATCGTCTATGATGAGTTTATCACTAAACAGTGGTTTTAAAATACTTATTTACCATTTAAGTATCGTGGTGTTCCACTTTATATATTTACTTACCCATGTGTATGTTTATAGCGTATGGACAAATGTATGTTTTAATCGTAAAGCGAACGAACGTTAAATATTATCACAGATGTTTGTCTAAGGCAGAGTAACCGTCTAACGTCTAAATAATGTCTCTGTCTGTCGACTGCACGGTTGGTGCGGTGGCTGGGCAACCGGCTGCCGTGCAACGTGTCGCGGGTTCGGTTCCCGCACGGAACAACACTTTGTGTGATCCACAAATTGTTGTTCCTGGTCTGGGTGTCATTGTGTATGTGAACTTGTATGTTTGTAAACGCACCCACCGCACAGGAGAAAATCTTAAAGTGGGGCAACGTTTTTATAAAAAAAAAATGTCTTTTAAACTGTCAAACACCAAGCGGTCACCGGTGACCGCAACCTATTGTTCTATAATTGTGTCTATAATGACGGTACTCGACGAGTTAATAATGTTGCGTCGTCGCCGCGACCGCACACGCTGTTCATGAGGTAGAACCCCTCTGTGGCTCGAAACTAGTCGAGCTTTTCTCAGTAAGTATATTAATGTGAGTAACACGCGATTTTAATTAATTTAGTATGTCTCACAATAGTTATTATAAAAAATAAATGATGGCCTAGAATAACATTGGCCATTTTCTATCCCACGGATACGACAAGCTAGTGGGTTAATAATTTCGCAAATATTTGCAATAGATTTTGACATTTTACAGCGAATCTGAATTTAATGAAATGAAATTAATTTTTGTAGGGACATGGTTTGATAAATAGGTGTAAAGTATTGTGGCATTGTGAATAGTAATTTAGTAATATCGTCAAAGTAGCTAAGTGTTGACAATTTTTGATCAAAAATATCATCGATTTAGGTACGAATAAACACCTTCAGAAAATACTTAGAATAATTGAAGCATAAATTATCGTTAATCAAAATGATACTCAATCACTTAGTGAAAAATGTATGTCAGTCGCTTACGACGTAATGATAATTAATAACAGTCGTTCATGATTGATTGCTGATCGCCCAGCTGCTTCTGATGGCATCTTAGCGGTGTAAGATTTGGAGGCTGGTCGAAGGTGGAGACGGGAGAGGGTAGCTGAGATTTTTGTATGATAAGAAAGATATATATATTGTTTTATACTCTTCTGACTCCCTCCTTGTCCGAGTGCGACTGGCAGCAAGTGGTCTCGGGTTCGATTCCCGGATCGGGCAAACATTTACTGGTTTTTTTTAAATTTGAGTCGTAGCAGATGTCTAAAATATGCCCGGTATATGGCAATAGGCTCACCAATGCAATTACATGGGACCAAGTCAATTACATGGGACTCATAACATAAATAGTGAAAATGGGTGTTACATTGTATAGTGGCATTAAATGCCGTGATGTGCACATTTGTTTACAACTGCGGGGATAAAAGGTGTGATGTACCTATGTTATGTTATGTTAAAATACAGAATACAGTATTTGTTATATTCTCAAAAAAATAAATAATTAAAAATGTATATTAATCATCATGTAAACACAGCCTAATAAATAACCGACTACAACAAACCTCATCGTATATCATTTTACATCTCACATACAAAACTCCAAGGTCTTCATCACACGAGCTGATGCTCCCCACGTGTTCAGTAGCTGACCGGCCTACATCCCGGTAGCGATACCGTATCTACCGTCGTACGATGATAAAAACGGAGACTATATTTGAATATCGCATAACTGCTAACAGCGACATCTAGTTGTAAGGTACCGTATTAAATTGGCAAATTGATTGAATTTGGGATTAAAAAAAAATTGAATTAGTGGATGACATCCGACTGTTGATGATGATGATGTCATATTACTAAGTTATTAAGTCTTGGGGTAAGCAGAACTGCATACAAAACACACAATT